TTTGCATTAAGCTTTATCATTAATAAATATAGTTTTCACTTAATAATAATATCATGTTAAATGCTAAATTAATACATAATATTAAAAGATTAAATATTGCCATATATATATATATATATATATATATATATATATATATATATATATATTATATTTTAAAGCTTTTCTAAAAAATTATTTCATTTTGTAAATAAGTTCTGAAGATTTTATTAAAATACGAGAAGAATTAAAACTTTGTTACTTTGTAAACATTCTTAGATTATAAATAAATATCACTACATTAAATATTAGGTGCCTTTTTTTTATTCAATTCTCATTTTAGTAAACATATATGAGGATTATGACTATTTGTAATCCTATGTTCATGTGTCATAAATCGATGAACTTTTGTTCAAAGGCATTAATTTATTTTAGTTCTTGAAAACTTCAAACCAAAATTCAATTTTACCATATACGCAATAAAGATTAAAAAAATCAAAATATTTCAGAAACTTCATTTTTCAATTGGCTAATGATGTAATTAAATAGTAATTATGTATTTTTTAATGTATTTAATAGTTTAAAGCTATAAATTATACATACAAACTTACAAATATATATATCTTTCACACTAAATGGATAGACTAGACCATATTGAAATTAATAGTAGCATAACTAGTCAGGTTACAACTATCAAAAATGGCCGTATCCTGACTGACCATTGCTATGTTGGCACAATTCTTTTAAAATAGAATTCATCTCCAAATCATCATTGGAAAAATGTAAATTGTTAAAAGAATTTTTTAAATATTTTTTTAATTATTAAAAAATGGATAACTTGTCCTTTTTTAAAATTTATTTACTGCAGTCAGCAAAAACGTTGGTCTTCATTTTTCCATGACTTTACATTTGATATCAAATTGTAGATTTCATTGCCAATGAAAATAATGAAACAAAATATTATATATATATATATATATATATATATATATATATATATATATATATATATATATATTTTAGGTAATGACTTTTTTGTAACCCTATTTCCCTGTCTCAGAAATCAATGAACTTTTGTTCAAAAGTAATGGAAAGATATTAATTTATTTTAGTTCTTGAAAAAGTTCAACCTAAACCAAAAATTCAATTTTATCATATACGCAATAAAGGTAAAATAATCAACATATTTCAGAAACTTTATTTTTCAATTTGCTAATTATGTAATTGAATGGTACTTATGTATTTTTTAATGTATTTAATAGTTTAAAGCTATAAATTATACATACAACCTTACAAATAGACAAAAACAAGTTTTAAAAGGCCAGAAAGTCATAGTACTACAAAATTTATATATGATTTTATAAATTTTGTTTTGGGGGTGACATTTTTTTAAATAAAATGAATTAAACAATTCTTCGTTATTTTTTCACAAAAATTTCCTCAAATTATGATACAGGAAATCAATTATTTTACAAAGTCATAACCCTAATATATATTTTTTTTCAAAGAATAACATGACCAATAAATGGCATCAAATATACTGACTGGCACATTTTAGCCCGAGCTAAAAAAGCCACACAGAAAATAATCCATTCTCAACAACTCATATAAACAATTCCATAGTTCTTGAAAAACATCACTCCAAACTGAAAATTCATTTTTACCATTTACGCAATAAGGGTAAAAAAATCAAAATATTTCAGAAACTTTATTTTTCAATTTGCTAATGATGTAATTGGATGGTATTTTTAAACTCATTTAACAGTTTATATTTACTTGACTCAGACTGAGTTAAGTTGTGACACAAGGTCGGTTTTTAACGTGGGCACTCGAGTGTATTCACACGGGTCGCTAGTCTTAGCTGATCAGAGCTGGTCTAAGTTAGTCATAGCTCTCTTAGCTGGTCATAGCTGGTCCAAGCCGGACCATACTAGTCATAGCTGTGATACTATCAGCGCAGGGACGGATCCCTGTGACCGGTAAGTATCAGAATGTGTATACCACTCGAGTGAGTAGTTTGTATTTACTCAACCTCTCCGCCCACCAGGACAGGTTGTGACACAAAGTCGGTTTAATGTGGAGAGCTCGAGGGTGTACAAAAATTCCCCAACCACCGCAACCGTCGGTTGCGCTTGCCCATAGCTGCGGTGGAGAAGAAGAGGATTCATACCTTTCCCAAGGGTTTTAGCACGTAAGTGAATATAATAGATTCGACTGGAATTCGACTCTCTGATTCCTCAATTCGAGCCGCTATCCATTACCCCACCGTTAATACGTAGCAATAACAAATTAGATTTTAGAGTTTATCGTAATGAATTTCTATTCCCACCACAATCAAAAAATAAATTGAGAATTAGTCATAGGATTCTATACCAGAGTCCTAAGGATATGTATCCCAGAATACCTAGGTGAATTATAGCATTTGTTGCCGCATCACCCAAGACAATCGGAGATATAATTAGGAAGTAAAATAAATCCAAAACTACTTCAGATGCTGTTATTATCAAATAAACCACTCAGAATGTAAAAGAATTTATGTCGGAGAGACATCTCGAAGTGTAAGAGCCTATATTTATGAACAGAAAAGAGATTTACACTTAGACAATCATTCAAATTCAGTAATACACAAGAACAAAACTGATTATACCTTTCATTTTACAAAGGCCAGCTTAATTAAAAAAAGAACATAATTCTTTATGTAGAAAGTTATCTGAAGACCTACTAATAACAATATTACCAACTACACAGCGAAAAAACATACTACATCACCAATCCTTACTGGATCCATTCTTAAAGAATCTAACGTATATCTATTTAAAACAAACGGTATGTACGTAAAATGTTTCCAAATCAACAAACCAACAAAATGTCTTACACACACACACACACACACACACACACACACACGCACGCACACGCACGCACACACACACGTACCACGCACGCACACATGCACACACACACACACACACACACACTGACACAGACACACACACACAAACACACACCACACACGGACACACCACACACACGCACACACACACACACACACGGACACACACACACACACACACACACACACACACACGCACACACGCACACACGCACACACACGGACACACCGCACACACGCACACACAAACACGCACACACACACAGACACGCACACACACACACACACACACACACACACACACACACACAGAGTTACGAATATACATTATCATCTGAGTCCCACATAGACAAACTGGACTTATTGTACACTTATATGCATAAAGCAACATTTACGGCTTTTTAAGTTCGACTTGAAATCCGTTAATTTCTTAAAACTTCGAATGTTTGCCACAATTATATAAACTTTGCCTCAACAAGTGGAATGTACGTGAAACATGATCAACCAATGAAAATCAAACACCAAAAATGAACCAGAATATCTTATTTTTCTTCATATTTTATCCTCTGTTGAAATTTAATAAAAATGAAACGATTTCGATTGATAAACGTTCCCTATTTGTTCTTTATCTTATATAGATCTTATCTATATTTGATCTCAACTCGTATATATTATGGTATAAATATAGTTTTAATGTATGCTATGTGTTATATTCCGTGCTAATAGGAATATATACTTGAAAAACAAGGTGAATAAAACAAGTAAAGGTTTATTGTAAAAACCAGTACTATAAGAATAACGGTAACAGTTATACACAAGGTCGTCGCAAGTCAATCAAGTAGAGAGTCGGTAGTTCTCGCGTAAGTCTGAGTCGTACTCAAAAGATTCCCAGCCACGCCACGAGGTAAGATGTGACGCAAGGCCGAATTTAATGTGGGGCAATCCGGAGAGGTAGACAGAACCGATCCTGTTTATGCGGGATTTTTGGCCGAGTCAGCACAACTGGAATAGATCCCAACTAGCCAAGACCCCCCCACTCCCCGCCCTACGAGGGTAGATGTGGCACCAGGCCGAGTTTAACTTGAGTCATCCGTAGGCTCGGACAAAATTTTCCCGTAGAACCCGCATAAACGTATTCGGGTCTGTCTACCTCACTGGACAAGACTCTGCCCTTCGGTGGCGCCTCGTCTCAGTTCATCTCTGCCCGAAGGCAGAGAGTTCGACTGTTTAGCTGTAGTCCGTTGACTTACAGATTCTTATAGGTAGTTACTACCTATAGTGTAGTCACAAATGGGGGTGACAGGCTATTCCATTACATCACTATGATTATGATTTAAAGTGCTCTATATCAAGGATAGAGTACATGCAAATAGAAATGTGGACTTTGAGGTCAACACGCAGCTGAGACAGTCTGTTTCTTGCTTAAATGCAATCTACAGAATTGAAGATTGCGTTTAAGCATGAAATTCGTTAAAGAATAATAAGGACTCTTGTTATAATATATATATATATATATATATATATATATATTCAGAATTATTCACAAAAAACAAAATTTTGTTTTTAATGATTTAATTTTTTTTAGTAAAATATATCATCTCAAACAATTCAAATTGATCAAAAACCTCCGAATCCGAATCGAATGAAACAAACCTTAGGTTCCAAAAATTTGGAGACAGGAAATAGTTCTTTTTTTAACAAACATGGAATCTGTTCCTAAGATAAAAATCTTCAGAAACGGCCAAATAAAATGGAGAACGTTTTTTACTCTTAGTAATAAATAGGATCAACGAAAATATATGTATTGTTGTATCCGAAAATTATAGAAAATGAGTTATTATTTTGGAGCGATTCACAAAACATCAACGCTTAGTTTGATTTTTAAATTTTAAAAAAGGTTTCATGCGTTCGTTTAAATATGGTGATGAACGAAGAAGAGGTACTGGTAAACAAAACGATGTCAAAGAAAAATAAGCATGAACTATAATGTTCAATAATTTTTTTCACAATAATGTCGCAGTTATTATCCAAAAGTCGCACTTTTCTTTTTCCTTTTCTATTTAAATTACGATCAACGTGCAATTTTTACGTCTTCATATTTCAAATTCGTCGTCTAGGGGCTCAGCTGATGATGAAGCAGAAAATACGTTCTCTCTCTCTTTCGTCTTGGTATGACAGCATTCTCGCTCGAGATGGTCTGTTCTTTCGTTCTTCCTTCCTTTCTCTTCCCTCTCGTGCTTTGTTTAAGGGCTTGGTGACGGTTGAAACTGCTTTCTCTCTTTTCGATATAGCGGCATTCTGCATACGTAGTCAAAACGGGTCCATCCATTCGACTGGGAGACCAATTCTCCTCACAATTTTGCAAACACATCTTTTCAGTCCGTATACTGAGACATTTGCCAAATGCCTGGCCAGCCTGCTGGCCTGGCGAAGACTAACTTTTTCGTTTCACTATTCGTTTCCGTTTTCCTCTTGTCATGTGGTCAATTTTCAAAATATTAACTTTTTCCTCATTATGGGTGGAATGGGGCCATCGACTCCCTCTCTCATCTTCAGGGTCAGAGAAAGTTTAGTTCAAAATGTTTCAACCTATCCCAACCGGAACCTATCCACGTAGATCATGCTGCCTAACCAAAAGAGAAGGAAAGGGGACACTCTGGTCAATCCTTGCCGCCACAAAGTCTACCTTCCTTCCTTGGGTTTACTATCTTTACATTTTCTGCAAGTACTGGGCTCTTTAGAATGCTTCTAAAATATAAGCAATGGTATAGTTTTTATAATAAATCTAGATAGGGGTTCGTAATATATATATATATATATATATATATATATATATATATATATATATATATATATATATTGATCCAATATATGGCATATGTAAAAAATTGTTAAAAAATATTTTCTCCCGACGTAGAACTATTACCAAACACAACGGATGTCCTATGCGGAAGTCCTTGTGTCTTGAGCTCTTATTAAAGTCAACCCAAACCTCAAGTTGAACTCGTACCTACGATAGACATTGCCGCTTACTCTGTAACCCTTACCTCGAGTGGCTCCCAAGAGGATGCTTCCCTGGTCACTACAGTCTTAAACTTTTCATGTCTAGGGTTAACCGTTATCTTCTCCACATACCGGCATAGACACTGCCTCTTACTCTGTAACCCTATACCTCGAGTGGCTCCCAGGCCTTAATCTCTTTGTAAAAAACATTACGTTAGGTTAAGCATCATCTGGGAAATGAGATGTTAGCTGAAAGGAATTTTTCTTTATTCCAACTTCACGTTCGTTAGTTATTTAAAGCAAGAATGAAATAAAGAAATAGTCGCAAAAGAAAAATAATCCGACTGTTTTTCTCTAGATACTCAATAGCTGACGGTTTCAGCCAATATTGGTGTCATGTAAATGATCTTTACGAGATCAAAGATTTCCACTTTGAAATTGTCTGCGAGTCCCCGAACAAATTGAGAAACATTTCCTAATTGCTTAGAGATTCGGGAACTAACCTTGTCGTTACATATTAATGTCTTGGCCACCAATTCCAATGAGCAAACCAATATTTAACATGTGATAATTCGAATAATGACATTTAATTACAGGTGTGTAATGGATTAAACCGGTAATATCTGCATGCAAAATGGAAATGACAAGACCTCCGTTCAGGTAAGCGTCGCGAGTCAAGGGAATTACATTAAGACAATTAGAAAGTTTTCATCTCGCAACTTTAGGAAGTCGCCAAGTTTCTGCGAATAAAATACTGCTTTCTGAAAATAGTACAAGATGCTTTGAATGTAATGTCTCCTGTTTATTCCACGTAATCACTATTATCTTAAATAAGCCTTTCTTTATTTTCTGGATTAAAGTTTTGTGCGGGGTAATCCGAAAATGTCAACAGAATCAAAAAAAAACGAAAAAAAAGTAACAAAAAAAAAACAAAACAAAAAAACAGCCATAAAACGATGCCTAAAGTTTAAAATGAATTTTAAATAATGCAAAATCTTGAATCTTTTATTTTACTTTTAAGCTAATAGATAAAATGTAATATTTCCTATAAGTAAAATACTGCATTTCAAAAAGTAATTTATATTGATTTACGCCCTTTTTTAAGTGTTTTTCATAGCAATGGATTTCTCTATTAAAAACGCTTCCAAAAATAAATTATACTTTTCTGAAACTTTATTTGACGAATATTATCTGATTTAAAATATAATTAATCTGATCTGAAACAAATATTATTTACTTTAAGTTTAAAATATCACAGAAAAACATTTTTAACCAGGCACTAGTTGTTTTTAAACCCGATAATGACTGTTTTGACAGCCTGATGACACCGCTAATTTTGTTCTACAGAAACTTTATCTGTAAAACATAATTTAAGAAAATGATGTGGGCGATTTTTTACATAATTTTTAAATACCCAGTAATCTTTAAAACATTTAGAAAATATTCTCCGTAATCTAATGTTTCATTAAATTTTAGAAATATTGACTTCAGATTGACTATAATTATCGCTCTTTTGTGATAATGTCGTGTATGGCCATCTGTATTTAAAAAATCGGCACGTTTACACACATAGAAAACAATTCAAAACTCTTTTTAAAATATTAGTGTTTGATAGTTTGCATTAAGCTTTATCATTAATAAATATAGTTTTCACTTAATAATAATATCATGTAAAAGGCTAAATTAATACATAATATTAAAAGATTAAATATTGCCATATATATATATATATATATATATATATATATATATATATATATATATATATATTTTTTTACCAAGCTTTTCTAAAATTTATTTCATTTGTAAATAAGTTCTGAAGATTTTATTAAAATACGAGATTTATTTGATTTTTGCAAGAATTCTCAAAATAATGTCTTTTTAACGCCAAAAAGACGCTAAAAATCCCTATACTAATTTTTGACTCACGCAAGAAAAACGAAATTTTTAACCAGAATATCGAACGCTCTAGAAAGGATTTAATGAAAAAAATATTTTAATCTTTCCTCTTAATAATAACATAAACATTTAGACGATAAATCTTTGTTTCTATCACGTTTTGGGCCTTTTTTCATAATTGTATGCTCTTTTTTAGGATGTCTTTAGAGGTACCCAGTTAAAAAGCATAAACCACGGCTCAACTGAGCTCACGACATTGTTCTTTGTAAATTACTCAGCAGTGAACCTACACCATCACAAAGAAACAGGAATCAATCAACAGATGTAAGATAATTGCGACATAGTCCGCTGTTGGCCCAGAATGAATTATCGCTTTCAGTGAAATCAGATAAGTTTCTTAAAAAAGTTATTTTTTTAATTTTATTTCTGTTTATCATGTTTAATATGTTTTTTTGTTGTTGTTATTTTTTAAGCACTACGCCCCGAGCAAGGCGTGAAGCCACTAGGATGCAGGGGGTTGCAGAAGATTTGGAGCGAGAGCAGATAGGAGTGATAGAAGAAAGGATGAGGAGAGGGATAGTGGGTAGATCAAGGTAACTAGAGGTGTCGATTGACATTACATTTGAATAGTTGGAGATTATAGCTCTCAGGGAAACAGTAATAGCGAAGGGTGTTCCACAGGCGAGGGGTTCGAGATATGAACCTATTGGAGTAGAAGAGACGGCTACATTTAAAAGTTTCTACAGTGAAAGGGTGAGAGCGGAATGCCAGCCTCATAGGGCGCTTGAATTAGAAGTAAATTTCTAATTTTGTTTATAACTTTATATTTTTCCTAATTTGTTTTTTTTAAAATTTTATTTTCATTCCATTTGAGAACCCTATTAATAATGAATACACAAGAAAACAGCTTTGTTGCTCAACCACGATTTCTTTGCATTGGGGTTTCATAAAAACAAAAGTTTATCACCAAAAGATCAATAGCTTAGCTTAGCTTCAAGGACGCAATCAGTTAACAGTGCAGGAGATAACTCCCGAAATGCTCCAAAATGTTTTGCGCTACGCTAAGAACACATTTGAAATTTGCAAGTATACCTACGGAACATATGTTGAAAATTTTCAATAAAGATTTGACGTAAAATGTATAATTCTATTTTGTATTATGATTAAGTAATAAACTTAAAACTGTTTTTTATTTTTTATTTTTAATTGGCCTAGTTTCATTGAAATTTCTGGTACACGGTATATTGTAAAAAGAGAAAAAAATCACTTTGACACCCGCCCACCCCCAAAAAATATAGCAATGAAAATTATAAATATTCAGGAAAATAATAATAAAAAAAAACAGTCACGTGATCTGATGAGACCCGCACGAGAAATTATTAGGCGGGAAAGTCAATCCTTTCTATTTTTTACTCATTGATTTTGTTGCAGATTGGCGAATGTATTTTGTATATCAGAAGGTTAGGTTATCAGAAGGCTTAAAAATGTAGATGTTCACAAGACATTCATCCACAACAAATATAAAAATAAGGACATTGAAGGTAAAAATCATTCAGAAGGAATAAAAAATGAGGACAACGTGATTAAAGGTTTAACAAATAACATTTATTTTATGTCAATTGAACATACACAGTCAAGATAGATATTGCTGATCAATTGCAACCAGTTGTACTAAAATATGTAGAAGGATTATGCTGAGTTTCAATGTGTGTAAGCTTGTGGTTAGGATTTGTATATGAAATTAAACAAAATGTTTTATCGTATTACAAAATGTCTTTTGTGGGAGTTCAGTCACTAGTGTGTATGTGTGCGTTTGTTAAAGTTACTGTTCAAAGTTTGTAAGAGTTGTGTACCTTTAGCTGTTGTCTTGATGTTGGATTGAGATTTACAAATGCTGTTTAGTAGTGGGTCAATTCACTTTCTTTAGTATGTTGTAAGTAATGTTCTTTAACGTCTGACCGCAAGGTCAAGACGAGAGTTCTTGTAGGTCACATTTTGGCAGCAAGGAATGAGACGCGAGAGAGAGAGAGAGAGAGAGAAGAGAGAGAGAGAGAGAGAGCTTACTCGTGTTTTGTTTATATGATGGTGTATCACGTGATCGGCTCTAAAGCGTTGAGCGGGAAAACAGATTTGTAGAGAATTGCTACACTTTTTGTGCTGTTTCGACCAATGAGAAGTCAAGATTTAAAAAGTGAAGTGCTGATTGGTTAGGATGGGCTTGGTAGAGTAGTGTTTTTTTATACGGGGGGTGAGTAACAAATATGGATGATTCCATCAAATTTATGGTAACAAGACACAATTTCAGGCGCGTAGCAAGCAAACAGATAAATACAAAATTTATATTGTTTTTGGTACCCAGTCTTTTGCAAGTAGATATATAAAAAAAAACTTATATTAAGAATTTCAAATCTATCTATCTATCAGAGTCTGTCTATATTTCTGAGATGAGGTATTATGCACATTATTTACATTATTCGGACTATTGTCCCCATCTTTGTCGCCATATTTATCACAACGTTTCAGCCGTTTTACGCTCCGGCCTTCTTCGGGTTGTTGGAATTTCGAACTGAACCCTTTATTTCGCTCACTGGGGTAGACTGTTCTAGTTCCACGTGCCATGTTTTGATGGATGTCAGTTATCAGTTATCTCCTGTTAATTTTCCCTCTGAAAGTTCTCCACTGCCTTAACCGGGTATTGAACTTGCACTCTTTGGT